TTTGTTAAAGGTTTAATTTGAAAATTTTATGTATATAGCAATCAAAACTTTTATTTTACATATGTGTTATATCATACTTTCTTCATTCATACTCATATGTATGAAAAATATGTATAATAAGGCAGTAGAAGAGGAGGAGGGAATGAGAAAATGAGAAAATGAGTATTTATAAGATGAGAAGTGATGAGAGTTACAATTTAGAAGAAAAAATTGTGGGAGTTAATTCTAATTTATTGCGTGTTGACTGAAATTGAGTAGAAAAATATAGTAAATGCAAATTTATATTATTTCAGTTTTTATATTAAAGTGTGAGTTAAATGTATATATTTTTTTTGGTGAAAAGTTAAATGTATATAATTAATTGTGTTTTAATTGAATATATATTTTTGCTTTTAAATTAAAGTATGAGATAAATATATATGATCAAATTTTTTTTTTTGTGGCTTAATTAAAATAATTTCTTCTTCAGTTTAATATTAAAGTGTGAGTTTAATATATATAACTAAATGTGATATGAGATTTTATTATAAAGTAATCTTTTTTTTTGGCAAAAGAACTTTAGGTATCAAAAGTTGGATTCAGAAATAGATGCCAAGTTATATTTATAGGAAAAAAAACTTTAGTTATTACACATATGAATTTTGGATCCCAATTAATAATTTTACTCATAATATTTTTTTTCATATATGATTATTTGGAATTAATATTGACATAAATGTTTTAGTCAAAAATAAAAATAAAAACAATTAATGAATAAAAAAGGATGACACATGTCATCAACAGAGAGCGCCAAATGTCGTAACGTGGTGAAAAGTTAGAAAAAACCTTGTTATATTATATAAGATGAAAACAAATAATCAATATGATAATTCATATCTATACTATTAATTGGGGAGCATTATTTGTCTTTGTTGCCAAACAAACTTGAAAAAAAAAAATTACAAAATATACAATCCCAACCATGTAGCCAAACACACTAAAAGACAGTAAAAATATTTAATTAAATAAATAAAAATAAAAAACTAAGACTATCTATATTTATGGAAATCATATTAATTTTGTTACCATAAAAAGTGGAAAATTAAACTGATAATTCATATAATACATTAAAAACTGATACATCACTTATAATGGGAAATACATAAAAATTGTCCATCACACGTTATTTATGATGTTATCACACAAACTTCGTCGAACACAACAATTATATAACAACAATGCGTTAATGAGCTCTTCGTTGCTTGCTTCGGCCAAAAACCTTCATGAACCACTCATGCTTGTACGAAACCACTATGTGTCCCATCACTAATCCAAATACAACTCCAGGTGCAAAGCCTAAACATGCTGCCATCCAACTAAATGCTTCTTCTTCTTCTTCTTCTTTCGTCTCCACCTGTTCCGATTGTGCTGGTGTCGGTGCTTTGATATCTCCACAAACATCCTTAAGGGAAAAAGCATTAAGCCCCAGGTTTCCTTCATAGGAGGAGCATTTTTGTCGTTGAAACTGTGTGCCTTGTGGTATGGAACCTACAAGCTGATTATGTGAAACATTTATCACTTCCAGAGATGAGAGGGTCCCAAGTTCAGGAGGAATCTCACCAGAAATCTTGTTTTGGGATAGGTCGAGTGACTCCAGATTCGTCAAATTTGTCAAAGTAGATGGGATGTGCCCCGTGAAAGCATTGCTTGACATGTTGAGAATATGAAGTTCCTTCAACAGACCAATGGAATCAGGAATTGGTCCATGGAGTTGATTTCCTGAAAAATCAATGGCTGTGTAGGTTGTAAGGATACGTTCCATCTCCATTGACACTCCTTTATTCATCAACACAAGTGAGTAGTAGCCTGCTTCTGAAGGATTCCTAATGTACTCAGGTTCCATATTATTATCTCTCTTGGAGTACATCACAGTCCAATTCAAAAAGTAATCTGATGGCAATGTACCGGAGAAGTCATTGTGTGATACATCAATGATTTTCAGATGAGGAAATCCAAACCAAACCCCATCAGCATTACGTAATGTACCATGAAACCTGTTAGAGTGGAGGACAAGGACTTGAAGTTTCTGCAGAGAATTCAAGTGGAAGGGAAACATGTCTTTGATTGTGTTGCTTCCCACGTTCAAAACTTCCAAAGCAGAGCAACCAACAAGAGAAGCTGGTATTTTTCCCTCTAATCGGTTGTGACTGACGTCAAGTGACGTTAAGCTCTTGGCGTTCCAAAATATTTCAGGAAGAATTCCGCTGAGTATGTTGTTACGGAGATTTAGGTATAAAAGAGAACTCATTTTCATAGTCTCTAAACACCAGGTAATTGAACCATGGAGGTTGTTGTTTGATAGATCTAGGACCTCTAGAGAGCTTAGTCCACATATTGATTGAGGGATCTCTCCAGTGAAGTTATTCTTAGAACCCAAAAAATATAGGAGATGCTTGGAGGATGGGATGAAGAGTGGTCCTTGGAAAGCATTTGATCTTAGATCAACAGTATTGATTTGACTCTCCGGAGAAAGTTCTAAGGATCCATTGAAACCGCTGAGAGAGTTGTTAGAGAGAAACACATACTCCAATTTTGGCAGTCTCCACAACCAGTCTGGTACATGACCTTTCATTTTGTTGTTGGAAAGATCTAATTGTTGTAGATTTCTTCCTTTTCTTATGAACTCAGGGAACTCAGTGATGTTGCAGCCACTCAAAATTAAATCTTCCAAACTTGATGGGAAATCCGAATCAAGAATGATGTTTGTTGTTGAAAGAGGGATGCCCGAGAGATATAACCAATCTAGCTTCTTGAGAGGAAAGAAGACATTTAAGTTAACTTCTGAATCAAAGACTTTGTTGTGATTTTTATTCTCAATAGAAATTTCTTGTAAATTAGGTAACAAAGAGATATTTGAAATCCCAGCAAAGTCGTTGAATTGGTTATAACGCAAAAAGATTTCGGTCAAAGAGGGAATCTTGACTAGGGATGAAAGAATGGCTCCTTTAAAAGAACTGTCATCAGCTGAAAAATACTCTAATTTGGAGAATCGACTAATGATTGGTGGAAGAGAACCTGTGAACTGATTGTAAGAGAGACCGAGTGAACGTAGTTGGGTAAAATTGAGTATTGAAGCTGGCAAGTTTCCACTGAGCTTGTTTACGGAAACATCAAAAATGGTCAACTGTTTTAGATTGCCAATTGAAGATGGAATTTCACCAACAAGATTATGATTCCAACTAAGATCGAGTATAGAGAGATGAGAAAGGTTCCCAAGTGAAAATGGAATCTTCCCTGTGAAATGAGAAAAGGAAAGAGTCAAAGAAATCAAATGTTTGAGGCTGCTAATGGAGTCTGGTATGGGACCAGAAAAGGATGTTTCTTTAATGGTCAGATGTAGCAAAGAATTATTCTCACGAAAATCAGGAAGATTGCCTCTCAAATTTGGATTGAATCTTAATCTAATGGACTGTAGGCTGGGTATCAGAAGAACACTACTTGGAAATTCTCCAAAGAGGCTGCAATTTCTAAGATATAGTGACCTTAGAGATTGCATGTTTGAAAACTCATGGGGGATTTCTGAAGTAATGTTTACACTGCTCATATCTAGTTCTCTAAGATTCCTCAAATTTTGAGCAAGTAGATGAAGAGAAGCTTTATCAATAGATAAAGAAGAAGAGGAATCATAATAAAAACTAGAAGAAAGATCAAGAGAGACCAACTTGGTTAGCTTAAAAAGGTTGATTGGAATTTGGCCTGATAGGGAAGAATCAGATAGGTTAAGTCTTTCTAGCCCCATGAGTTTATCAAACTCAGCTGGGATTGGCGAATTGTTGAAATCGTTGCCAGCAAGGTTCAGATCACGGAGATGACGTAGTCTATAAAGACTACTGTTGGATTTTAGCTGGCCATATAGGTGGCTGGAACTAAGGTCAAGCCTTATAACTTTGCCCGACTTAGCATCATCACACGCGATACCATCCCAAGAACAACAATCACTTTTGTTCACCCATGATTCTGTCTTCGGATAAGCGGAGTCTTGTACATTACCGAAGTAAGGTTTCCGGATCAAAAACTCACTCTTGAAATCAAGAAGAACATCTCTTTGGTCAGGCTGGCACAAGTGTCGTGTAGAAGAAACAAGCATGTTTAGAAAACTCAAAACGAGAAAAAGGAAAGAGATGGAACGAAGAATGAAGCTCATTCTCAGATTAGATAACAAAGCTTCCATATTTTTGAAACTGAAAAAAGTAGTGATGGTAAATTAGTGTTTCATGTCACTACACATATATATACAAAAAAACAAACACATTAATTGACTTTACGGTCCCTATTCCTTTTGATGAAAAACGCTCATTACTAAAAAACAATCTCATGAGTCCTTCCAAATCTAATAGACTTGACTAAAAAAAAGCATAAAAACAAGATTGCGACTCGACTACTAAACTCGTGTAACATGTTTTAGAAAATTTAGAACAAAAAAAGCATTCTCAATGAACAAAGTTTAGTGAGGGCAAAAGTCGTTGAAAAATCAAAGTGCCGAGTAGATGGGACTTGTGGCATTTTGCTATGAAAATGCTTGCCAAGTCGTGCTCTGTCCATTATTAACCTAAAAGAAAAACGCCAATATAAGAGTCTTAAAAGGTAGTGGAAAAATTAAAGGAAACGAAACTGGTAAGACTAGTTTGGCATTACTAAGACTAGTTTAAAATCTTTATTGTGAACCAAAAAAATCAGAAAATTATTTAAAACTTTTATTGTGAACCAGAAAATCAGAAAAAAAAAAAAAAAAACAGACTGATTATAAGTTTTGGTTATGTCTCGCACTTAGGAATCATGATCATGTAACAGAGTGATGCAACACACTTATCACAAATGAAGCGTATTTTCTAAAATCCAAAAATCGAAATCTGAATATAATCAAACTGAACAAGCGAAATATATATTTTTATTATTATTTTTTAGAGGTTTTACTGTAATCAAACTGAACAAGCGAAATATATAATTTTAAAAATGAAATATATAATTTTAGAGGTTTTACTGTAATCAAACTGAACAAGCGAAATATATAATTTTAGAATACCTTCATTAGTATGGCATACATTCACACACACATGTGCAAGCTATCTATTTCGAACCGTGGTTGCACCTAACAAAGGTACCACTGAACTAGACAGAATAGCTGCAGTTATTGAAGATCTATCAAAATTATATATCCGTTGATCCATATAACATCATACAGACGTTGATGGCATCGTGTTTTGCAATCAATGTAACATTCACAATTGAGACATGTTCAGAAAACCAAAACCTTTTCCATATAATGGGTTCTTTACGATGGTTGCTTTCTCATTCTCGAGATGGTAAATATGAATGAAGTGATGGAACACACTTGTAAAATACACCAAGAACATCCCGTCCTAATCCTAAAGCCACTCGGAAAGACTGCCACGACGTTTTTTTTCCTCATCGTAGCGATGCTTTCTCTGGTCTAATAATTCAAGTCGTCTAGTAATCCAATCCGGTAAATCTGAGCTAAGCCAGAGAGCTTCACCTGTATCTTTGTGCTTAAAGTCAGGTTGCTTCGGGTACTTCTTATTTCTTCTGTTGTCCCACCACTCGTATGGATTCGCAAAGAAGACTTGCCACAAGTATATCTCATCATTCTTGGATTCTTCTATACCATCTTCTAAGGAAACATCAAAAACACACAAGTTCATGTCAGCGGGAAATTTGTCATCTTTTCTCACAAAGTAACACTCAAAATAACGAATAAACTTTTTTATAAACCCGAGTACCCGAAACCAAAAGCTATAAAACATGTTTCAATGTGGGTTCATATACAATTCCAATAGAGGGATTGATGAATAGCAGAGATAATAACCTGCTGCTGCTATTGGTTTTTCAGATATCTGCGAATCTAAGACATGACTTGGTGGAACCGCCGCATAATTCACCTCTGTCACATTAACCTGCAATCAAACACAATTGACAAACCTGGTGATTTTTAAGCAACACAGAAGACATATTATTAACATTACAGATACATGAAGTTAATAAGATATATGTAAACAGATCTCGACTACACAAGACATCAGGAGAAGCTGGTGGAAGTAGTAGGGTTTGAGTTAATATTTACGGTCAAGAAGAAAAAAGTACCTGGTAACCAATATCTAAGCCGCAAGATTCATCGCTGGAGCTCTTGCTGTAAGAAACAAGACGGCCTGAGACAAGAATGTGATCATTTGGCTTCAGATGCGCAATACACATCCGTGCCATTGCATCCCACATACTAAGATATATCCTGTCATTGAAATTGCATAATCACATTAACAAAGACTAATACAAAAGTAAACCATGAAATGGCCATAACGAATGTGAGAATCATTCAGTGTTTGAGCTACATTAATTGTTTATTGCAATCAAGAATAAACCACTCATCAATCTTCAAATGTATCTAAGACTTTATCAATCACAAGGCTTAGGAACAGTACAGGATTATGCATAGATCATAACTAAACATCAATAAGGCTAAGTAATCCATAGAATCAGATTCTAATCCCAAACTTTAGAAACCCTAATTGTAGATTAAGCAACATACTATGAACAAACTTAGATTACATAATCTAAGACTTCAACAATCACAAGGCTTAGGAACAATACAAGATCATGCATAGATCATAATCAAACATTATTAAGGCTAACGAATCCAAAGAATCAGATACTAATCCCAAAATCTAGAAACCCTAATCGTAGATTAAGAAACATACTATGAACAAACTTGAATTACATAATCGAAACCACCAAAACGCAAACCGAACAAACCTGACCTAAAGCTCTGGTTCGGATAGATCGGGTGTTTCAGTCTAAGCATAGTGTAAACACCGAACCTATCAGGTCCAGTGTCGATGACTCGTATGGGTCGATCAACGAAACCAATAAGGCTAACGGAGTTGGAATGATTGAGCTTGAGCTTAATCGATAATGGTTTCTTGAACAAACGCGCGTGGTGATAAACCGCACTTTCTCCATCGGAGAAGAAACGAGATTTGGGGAAAGGAGAAGAGATTTTAGAAGCAGTGCGTTGGATCAAGCTTCTGAATTTGAAGAACGTGTTCATCTACTCGAGATGCGAATCTAGGGTTTAACTTGGCGGGCATTTTTTTTTGTTTCTCTTGCTGATTTGATCTTTCGGAGACAGAGGAGGTCTCGAGTTTCTTGTTATTGGGTTTTGATTGTAATATTTGATTTTAGGCCCATTATGGATTTAGCCCATTAGATTCTGATCTGTTGATATGCATCTTTTTTTTTTATTATTATCTAAAAACCATTGTGAAATGTGAGAAAGAGGGAAAAAAACCTAGTAATCAATTATTGTAAGAGACATGATCGACCATTCCATGTGATTTTGATTAGAAGACAATGGAATCTCACAAATAATAGTCTTACCATAAGAACTTTTTGAATTTCAAAGTAATGTGATATTTCTATAGTCAATTTTCTCAAAATGTTACACAACATTATTTACCATGAAGTTATATTTGATACTCAAATTTATTTCATTTTATACATTCAAAGATATTTTAGACTTTACCGTGAATTTCTCAAAGGGTTACACATATCGTCTTACCATAAGATTATATTAGATAGTCAAACTTATGTCGCATTACCTAGTCAAAGATTTTTTGACTTTTGCGATCAATTTCCTAATATCTTTCATAATTATCTGTTTATAAAATTCTCTTCCATAGTCAAACTTATGTCATGTTATCTAGTTAAATATATTTAGAATTTCACAATGTATCTCCAAAAACGTTACAAAACTTTTTATCTAGTCAAAATATTTCAAATTTCACAATGAATACCTCAAAGATTACATAATTATCTTGCCATAAGAATCACCATTTGGAAGTCAAACTTCTTCAGTCAAAAACATTTAATAACTTTGACTCAAGTTATTGATAAGATTTTGAGGGTTTCTTATAAGAGTAAGGATAACTGTTGTGATTTTTTCCAACTCCAATTGAAAGCCTCTCTCCAGCTCCAAGGTACCACATCTCTGAGTGTTGTGATTACAACTTCTTCGGCTAGACTAAAATGATTATTATCAATGGATGTAGACTTGAAGAATCCGAAAGACGTTGTAATGTTTTAGGAAATTTTGTTTACATGGTAAGGTGAAACGAAAAAAAAGAAGAGATCTTAAGTTCTCCTATTTTACTAAACCATGCATCCAATATTTTCTTGAAATATTTCAACTTCTTTCGGATTCTTCAAGTTTACTATAGTCATCAAAGATCATTACAAACCTTCTCACATAATCAACACATCTGATCAACACGAATAATTACTCAATAGATGTTCTTGTCGAATCAAAACATCCACATTTAATAGATTCTTTGAATCACGTTGTTAAGGTTTCCATGGCTGCCTTGTCTTAGCTAATTGAAATATTCTCTACTTTCATGATTTTGCTTTTTTTTGGAGCTTTTTAAAACAATAAATTTATTTATTTTGTTTTACCAATATAAATTATTATTTATTATTCGAATTAGTCAGAGCTCGAAGAATATTTAACCGAATTTAGTAAAAATTAGCTATAGATCTATTTTTCAATCAACTATTCGAACCGACCAGAACCCAAAAAATACAGACTAAACCAAAATTTCAAAATACACATTCATCGTATTGAAAATATCTAAAACCAGAAATAACCGACCAAACCCGAACCGATTATAGTAACCTCATTAGTCATTCCTAAATTAGAGAGTGACATTAAAAAAAAAAACACATAACGATTTAAAGCGTTCGTCGTGAAACGCAATTTTAAGTTTTTAATCTCCAAAAAAGCGTTTTTTTGGTACTGTTACCACTTACCAGTAAAAAGAGGATAAAATACAAACAAAAAAACAAAAAACATCCAACCAAAAAAAAAAAAAAAAAAAAAAAGAAAGAGACAAAGACACAACGGGCGAGAGAGAGAGAGAGAGAGAAAGAACCAAACAAATTCGTTTTTTTTTTTTCTTTCCCCTTTCTCTCTCACACTCTCTCATCTTCTTCTTATGATTTTTCAACTTATTACAAAACAAAGATAGCAAAAAAAAAAAAAAACACAAATCTTCAAAGTTGCAGTCTCAGGTGGTTCTCAGTTAATGCTAACGCGTAATGGCTGAATCTATCTCCCAATTTCGTAAGTCACATTCCCACAAAACTCTTCTCTGTGTTAATTCTGAAATTAAAAGAAAAAAAAAAAAAACTGAATTTGCTGTTTCACGACTACATTGCCCTGATTCATAGGCTCTGAATTTCTCAAATTTAGGGTTTTTTTTTCTTGGTGGTTTCTCTTTTGTCTGAATTGTCGGTGAAATTGAGATCTTTGAGCATAAGGGTTTGTTTATTTCTTAGTCTTTATTACTTTCCTTAATCTATTTTGAGCAGATCTGGAACATAAACCCTAGAAACAGAACCATATCTATTGTCCTCCTAACTCTTAGGGATTTGTAGTGTCTCTCTCTGTTGATATATCTTTAATGTGTTTCTAAATTGACAGTGCTAAATGGGTCACACTTGATTTGTAATAAAAGTTCTCAATTCTTCCACTTTCAGTAATGTTTCACTGTTTCAAGTTACATTTTTCAAGATTTACTATTTTGGGGAATTAGATTTTAATTTGGATCTTTGGTCTCTTTACATCAGCTTAACCATGATTCAGTTCAATGATGTTTTCAACTGTTCATCTTAATTGGAATCATTAGCTTCTTCTTTTGTTTTTTTTTGGTTAGTTGTAATGAGTTGTTGAACCTTTGACTTGTCTCCTAATCTCTTACTTAATCTATCTGTATCATCTTCTTCTGTCTATTTCTCATTAATTTATTACACATACTCAACTACATGATACATCTTATTGTCTTCATGATTGCATCTGACATGGTAGCAACTCTTTTGGAACATGACTTGATATTATAACACTAAAACCTGCTCTCACACTTTTTTTCATCTTCTTTTGATCGTTGTATAATTGGGGTTGTAACTTTAGTGGATTTGGCTAGGATTACAAAAAAAAGATGACTTGGCCTTTATTATGTATTAAAGATGGAAAAATATGAGACCAATCTTGTTTATTTTAAGATGCATGCTTTATTATATTTATGCTTTTGTTGTGTATAACTGATTGAAGCCGGCCAAGAGAGCTTGGTGCTGACTTTTTTATGAGCTGTTGTTGTGTTTCAGCCAACCAGCATAAGATAAAATTAAATAGGAAAAGTTTTTCATTTCGGTCTCTTAAGTTCTATGAAAACATAATGTGGCTCAGAGGTCTTTGCTTGTGCACCTTTCACAATCTTTTATTGATTGATGTTGTTTATATACAGGATAACCTCTGCTGAGGCATCCAAGTGTTGAAGGGAGAGGAAGAGCCTACGCAGAAGAAAGGTCAGACTTTGATTTGAAATTGTGTGGTTAATGTGAACATCAGAGATCAAAATGTGTTTTCTATCTTTGTTATGTCTCGAATCTTCATTGCGAGTCCAATATTTGAACAAGAATTTATGAATTTGCAGGTTGGTCAGAGTCGCTGCTAGAATTTCGTTCAGAGGTTGGGGAAAAGATGAAATTTGTGTCAAAGAAACGATGGAAGTCTCTTGGACCTCTTCATCTGAAAAGCAAATCAGTTGCTCGGTTTTGCTTCTTTTCGAAATTGAAGTCAAACAACCATGGTCCAGGCCGTGCACCAGTCTATCTCAATGTTTATGACTTGACACCTATTAACGGATATATCTATTGGGCTGGCCTTGGTATATTCCACTCTGGTGTTGAAGGTAAGCTTTAGGGGATTGTGTTTTCTTGCTGCTATGGTCTTAAGTGTTCAAAAGATTTGCATCTGTGGTGTACTTATAGTTACTGCTGGCTAACTATGAACATTTGGTTTTGTGCACAGTTCATGGAGTAGAGTATGCTTTTGGTGCCCATGATTATCCAACCAGTGGTGTTTTTGAGGTTGAACCAAGGCAATGCCCGGGCTTCAAATTCAAGAAATCGATATTCATTGGAACCACAAATTTAAACCCAGCACAAGTTAGAGAGTTTATGGAGGACATGGCTTGTAGTTACTATGGGAATATGTATCACTTGATTGCTAAGAACTGCAACCACTTCTGCCAGGACGTTTGTTACAAGCTTACCGGCAAAAAGATCCCAAAATGGGTGAATCGGCTTGCACAAATAGGTAATGAAAAGGTCTACTGCATTCTGCATATTGTTCAGTAACTCTGTTAGATATATTCTGAAGACAAAGTTTGCTTTTTATCTGCAGGGTCTGTGTGCAGCTGCATACTTCCCGAGTCCCTCAAGATAACAGCGGTTTGCCACGATCCAGACGGGCAAATCCCAGAAGAGGAAAATGAAAAGCGAAGTCTTAGAAGCTCATTCAGCTGTTTATCCTCCATCTCCATGAGACAAAAACAGCTTTCAACATCCTCATTGTTCCTACAATCACCTCTTAGAGGCTGCTTACCTCCATGGCAACTCAAACGCTCGAAATCTAACAGCAGTTCCTTGAAAGAAAGGTAGAAAAATCCAACGGTTTCTCATTCGTTACCTTAGCAACACGCTCCACGGTTTATCTTTGTAAGGGAGTTCGAAAACAGAGTTCCCGAACCATCATCAGTCTCTTCCATCTCTCATTTTATTTTTAACAGGCTTTTACAAGCCATTCTTCTTCTTCCTCTACTCTCTGCTTGTATTGCTTCCAAATTTGAATCTTTTAAAATCATGTATTTGTCTCTCAACTCTGTTTATATATCTAAATTAGCTTATCTTAGTTCAAACCCCATTTCTATTGAAATCAAGAACAACACTGAATTAAAAAACGAAACCTTTATTCGATAACCATTACTATAAATCAATCGATAAACGAACGATCAACATCATCATCATCATCATCATCATCATCAACAACAACATCAACAAGAAACCCAATTCTTATGAGTACTAACAATAGCTGAAAACAAACCTGCTGAAGAAACCACACTAGGAGCAGATAACACTCCCTTACCATCACCAATATCCGAAATCGTCATCAAACCATCAGCAAGATCTTGCAATATAGATAAAACCTTCAATGTCTTCTTCTCCTTAATCATCTTCATCTTCTCATCTTCACCTTCACAACCAATCCCTCTCGAAACCGAGATCTCGATCGTCGAAGCAACACAAGTCTCTTCATCTCTCAATCTCCTCAAATCCCTAACCTTCATCGAAACACTACCAACATACCCAACCAATTCAGCCCAAGCACTAATCTTCTGAAGCAATTTCGAGTATTTCGCATCGATCAATCCCGATTTCGTCAACCATATGAACTGTTCGACGAAATAGTACAGTCCTTCGCCACCGTACGCGATCAGAATCAATACGAGTTCCTGATTCGATTCCCACCGCGAAGATCTTAGTGCGTTGATGTCTTGCACGAATTTACCGAGACGGAAGGCTTTACGGCTAACTCCGACGCTTGATTCGAAGGTTTTGAGACGAGGAACTATGGATTTGGTTTCTGGGATTAGAGATGATGCGAGGATGATTTTGGTAGCGTAACGAGAGATCTTTAAGAGTTTGTCTACGCCATCTCGTTTGGATAAGTATGTTTCGAGATGGTTTAGGAAATCTCTGTCTTTGGGTTTTGGTTTTGCAGCCATTGGAGATATTATTGTTCCTCAAGGAAGAAGAAGAAGAAGAAGAAAGATAACCAAAAATCAAAAGTTTGATTAATTGGTTTGCGTGCCCGCACCGATTTGTCCGGTTTAAATGATTGTGGTCAACCCATATCTAAATTATCTATGATGCACACCTTTAATCATTAAGAGCCGGAGTCGTTTAAACGCAGCAGTTGCAGCTGCGGTTACGGGAGTTTACGGAAGTATACGGTTACGGTTTCAAGCGTTATTATACGTTTTGAATGACTGATTGAACGTTTAAAAATAGATACCTTTACGGGAGTTTTATGATTAATTAACCAGCGCAAGCAATAGCGATTAAATAAAAAATTACAAAATAGGTATAAATATAGTTAGACAAATATATAAATATACCAAAATCTATATTATTATGATAAAATGTATTAAAAATGAATATGATTGATAACTAATAAAAAGCCTTATTACTGAATAATTATTGATAAATAATAATTTTTTGAGAGAATTTCAAAAATACCTCTTTGCATATACCTCTTTTTAAAAATACCCCATTTTCAAACTTTATCAAAAAACCCACTAAAAATGTTGAAATTTATCCAAATATGTGTGTAAGCTTATAAATATATACACAATTACCTTTATATGTGTATAAAACTTCATATACCTTTCATAAATAGCGTAAAAATAAATTATAAAAACCTTATAAAAACCATATAAACCCTTTTAAAAACCTTTTAAAAGCCTTATAAAACTTATAAAAATGATTTAAAACTATTTAAAACATTTTAAAATATTTGTATTGAATCTCCCAGTAGTAGTTATTATATAGAAGTACCTTATAAACTATATAAAACTTTATAATTTTTTATATTTAAAAGGGGGTATTTTTGAAAATGGATAGATAAAAGGGGTATTTTTAAAAAGAGGGTACACCAAAAGGGGTATTTCTCAAAAATTATCTAATTTTTTTAGTAGAATATATTTAAGAAAAATTATTAAAATTTTAAACATGATTAATAATAATAAAAACATAAAGAACTACTAGATATAAATACTAAATAATCATTCAAATGTTAAATAAATAAATTTTGTTTAGGTAACACAAATCGATACACATTTTGTTTATTAAATGATAAAATTGAAATTTGATTTGAAAACTATTAAGATAGTTAAATTATTTTTCTGAAAATTGAGATTAAAAGATTTTGATAACACCCACATTGCACTTGCACCGTAGGATATATGGGTAAAGGCATTTTTAAATAAAAAATATTATTTAATTCATGAAGTTTCAAATTTAAACTATTTAAATCATGAATTTCTATGTGGTGATTCAAAACATGAAATTTTCGTTAACTTAAATTGAAAACATTATTTTTTCATTGACTAAGCCAAAATAAACATCATATCTTCAAATTCTTTTTAAATATTTCATTTATATCAATACAATTTTACGTTTCAAAAAGTGGTTAGAAACACACCAAATAATAAGAAAAAGGAGACACATTTAGTTTTTGTTCAAAATTCCTTCAAACTGAATTTTATACATTAAGTTGAGATTGGTTATCGTAGTTTAATTGATAGTGCTTCAATTTCGTGGACAACCTCGTGCGGACTCCTTGTCCTCTTTGTCAGTCAAAGAGTTTCTATTCTAATATCTTTAAGTTGTTTAATATTTTTGTTGTTTTGAATCAAATATAAAGTAATGAAGGTAATGAATTTGAAATATGCCATAGAAAATATGGCATAGGAGCTATTCTTGTATTTTCAAAATACTCATCAACTTAAAACCAAATGTAATAGTAGTAAGCTAAATTATAAATAAAATTTGTTTTCTCTATTCGAGTTTATGATTCTCTATTAATAAAATATAATAAAAAAAGTATACAATAGTTCTATAACATCAGTTAGATAGGAAAATATAATATTTTTCTCAGATTTTATTTAGAACTTTTTTTTTTTGAGGATTTTTTCTTAATAACTCATAACTGATCCCAAAAGTTTTCTAGGCCCAAAGACTAATCTTTTGGGGCCGGAGGAGACCATGTTAAATCTCGAACCTCCGTGGCCAATGCTACTCAAACCCAGGTGATACGTCGGTGGAAAAGAATGTTTGATATGTCGTGGCTTGTACGCGCATGTTTGAGCGCGTGGATTTTCATTTAAAGACTAAATTTTGTACATATAGAATGTAATTTCGAGATTTCACCAAAAAGGGATGTAATCTATATATACAAAATATTTTTATTTCTTTCTAAAATATTAAGATAAGTCTTAGAAAAAATTTGAATTAAACTTTCTAAATATTTAATTGAAATAAAAAAAAATTATATCAAAGATAAGAGTGAACTTAACCTTGACCCAATCCATCTATAAATATGGAGTAGAGTAGTAGCAAGAAGAGCAACACAACACCACTAAAAACATATCTCTAAATTTAAGAAATGGCTCCTCGTCAGAAGAGAGAGATCAAATTCATCGAGAACGAAAGATCAAGGCTATCTACTTTTCATAGACGTCAATGTAGCATTTTCGAGAAGGCTGATGAACTCTCAAAGATACCTGATGTTGAAGTCCGCGTTCTCCTCGTCTCACCCACTAATATATCGTATACGTTCGGTAAACCAAGCCTCATCAATAATGTTGAACGTAATCTCATGAAAGAATTGGAACAACTCGAAATGCATGAGGAGGTATGTGTAACCCATTAGTTATCATATATATGTTATGATTATTATTTCTTATGTTTAGAATTATTTTGTAAATTTTAGTTGTTGAGGAAGAGGAACCAAGAAGAACTTGAGAAGTCCAAGATGTTGGAGAAAGTAGAATTGGAGGACTTGGTTGCTTTCAAGGAGAAACTGGAGGCCCTTCGAGCAGATCGAAAGAGGAGACATGAAGAGATGAAGGCTTCGGCTACTCTCTTGATGCTCTCAGAAGAAACCGAGAATAAGAAGATGAAGATTGAGGCAGATCCAAGGGAAAAATATGAACTTCGGCCTAGAATTCCCCGGAACTATGTCGAATAGACAAACATTTCGGAACTATGTTTTTAATTTCAAGAAGTTTATGGAACAATTTTGGTTGTAATTGAAGGACGTTGTGTGTTCTTCATCTCTTTTGTCTTTTTCACAAGGATTTTCATAAGTCCCTTTTCAATAATACTACAGGATTTTTTTTAATAATAATTTACAATATATGTGATTATATATTGTTAGGAAATTTTGGCATAAAGTGTCCCATGAGTTTACAGATGATAAATACAAAAAACATTTGCACACAAACACCGTATGTGTCTTTCGTATAACCATATGACACCGTTTTTGTCCGGAGCACCGTTTTTGTCCGGAGCACCGTTTTTGCTTGTGATTTAACAATTATACCCTTCTAACTAATACTATTTTGTCAACTGAACTCTCGTTAGTTTTGTGTTTTCCTTTTAATAAATTTACTATATATTTTTTCTTACCATCGTCCGAACTCAATTATAACAAGATTTTATCTCCTCAATTACGTACCAAAACCCGTACCTCCTCCATATTCACTCTCTCTTTGTCCCTCTTTCTAAAAAAACTTAGACTGCGGACTTATAGTTGGAACTTCCCAAATCCTCCTCTCTGTAAACACACCATCGCTAGATTTTTCTAGCCCTCCTTCTATTCGAGTTGGAAATTTAACCTCTTTATTCGTTCTCCCTACATTCCGCGTTATACCCAACCCCAGCCGCCGTGTACTATGCAACAGTCCCGACAACGATGAATGGTATCCACTGTATAACTAATTTTTTAAAAACCTCGATATATTCCCCCTCGGCTTGCAACGCACTCCGGGTTACCGAAAATGCAGATGAACCCACCCCAGATGAACACCTTTCTTCTCCAACAAAGTCGTCGGAATCGTTAATCCAGCCATGTGTTGAAGTGTTGTTTTGTCATATTTTGGTTGATTTTGAAATTTGTCTTGGATGGTTTATAGTTAGAAATGCATGTGCAGTGTCATAGTAGTGGGAATGTGTTTCTCTGCCCACGTTTCATGTTCTTGGGAGTTTGTTACGTTTTGTGTATTTTTAACCAACTAGTCTATTGTAAAATCACTTCCTTATCTTTTTCTTACCACCATATTCAATAATAATACAACTATATTTAGGTTTAACTGTGTTCTAAAACACAAAACAGTACAAAGCCCATTACACATAAGTAAGCTTAATTAAGAAGCTTACGTCTCAGTCTGACTTTAGCACATTCAACTTTCACGATATATCACTGAACTGCCTCTAGATTCACTAACCTTTTTCTCTTGTTGGCTTCCTTAGTATCAACCAATTTCTCACAGCTTCTCTTCACAACATCATCTCCAACCTTATCTCATTTTCATCTAAGTTGTCGTCCGCATAATCACTAATCAAGAAGGAAATAAGATATTGGAAAGAAACATCTATGACAGATGAATATTACTTTGTTGAGTTCAAAATATTGGAAAATGGAGAACATGAAGGGTAAACATCACAAGATAAATCTTTCTTGTTGGTTGTTTTGTTCTTGGTTCTTGAAATTGTTGTTCTGCTTGAGCTTGTATTTGACATCATTTGAGATTTTATAGTCTTGTTCACATAATAGCATATTTATTATAAGCAATCATATATTCTATAGAAATCTATATATATTTTAGTTTGGAATTTTGAATTGTTTGAATTCTACAAGAAACTCTAATTTTAATTTACAAGTACAAAAAGTAATAATTTATAAGTTTTAACTAGTTAACCTTCAAATTTTACTCTAGTGATGATGTTGCTCTCAAGATTGTAGTATAAAAGGAAGCAAAGGACATATATATCTCGTTCCACGTTGGTAAAGGACATATATATCTCGTTCCACGTTGGTACCAATACCTGTCACAGAGCACAAGAAGTGAGGGTGGTTGTGGTGACTTCAATTGAGAATTCCTCCGAGAGAATTGGCGAAGAGAACCTAAGTCACCGATGCTTACGAACCACGAAGTTAAGATCACTTAAGAAGTTTTTGAGTAGAGAGAAAGAAAGGTGTAGTTTGCATTATTGGTTCAAGAATATAGAGATCTGGAGATCAAAACATGAATCGGTTATCTTTGTATATTTATTTTAGTTCAAATCTACATTTAGATTTTCTACTAGAGATGATGATCAAGCCATGGTTACAGAATACAATCCAATTCTTGCAATGGCATCTACATGCATGTTTCTTTAACAATACTTGGCAGCAGATATAACATTATTTGAATATTTGAAAACTAATGTATTATTAAAAAGAACAGATCAAGAATAGTGATTTAAAGACATAGAGGCTCTCTGATAGAGTAGAACAGAAATTTTAAAAAAATAAGTAGAACAGATCAATACTCTCACTCTCACTCTCTTATAAATTAGATCTAGAAACGCAAAGAGAAAAAGAGAGAACCAGAACAAACCAAAAAAAAATATCATAAGAGAAAAATATAAATTGATTGATGTGAAGAGTAAAAAGAGTATCAATAAAAATTTTAGAATGTAAATTATTTTTGACTTACTACATATTCTAAAGCAAAGGTCAAACATTTTTTTTCACGGCAGTTGAAAACTATAAGTTAATATTTTGTTGTTGATAAATCAGTTTGTTTTATCTTTGTTGAAAAAAGGTAAGCTTGTATAATATTTTGTTGTTGTTTTGAATCAAATATAAAATAATGTAGGTAATGAATTTGAATTTATGCCATCAAAAATGTAGTAGTAAGAAAAATTATGACTACAATATTTTTTTCTCTATTCGAGTTTATGATTTATTATTGATACTTTTTGTCTATTTGAGTTTATGATTCCCTATAAATAAAATACAATAAAAAGTATAAAATTAACAGTTTTATAAAATGAGTTGGATAGGAAAAAATAATCAGACTTTCTGTAGAAATAAATCTTTTGAAGATTTCATTTGAAAAAAGTAAAATAATACTTTTTGATTTAGAAGAAACTTATAAAGTATTTTCATCAATTTTTCAATTTTCATTTATTTTAAAAAGAAGTTTTGATAAGTCGTGGCTTGCACGCACGCGTGTTTGCGCGTGTAGGTTTTTATTTAAAGATTAAATTTTGTGTATATAGAATGAAATCTTGATATAAATAATATTTTTATTTTTTCCTAAATATTTTGTATTTTCAAGATAAGTTTTCCAAAAAAAAATTATTTTGATATAATTTTTGTGTCATATATTTACTCATAAACTAATAGTTATCTAAAATAATTTATGTTGAATGAAATATAATAGAAATAAAATTATATTAAAACACTATTTTTGGTATCTCTTATAAGATAAATATTTTTTAAAGGTAAAGTCAAATATTTTAATGAAAAATGTATATCATAGATAGAAATGTCAGAGTGAATTTAACCTTGTTGACCCAATCTATCTATAAATATGGAGTAGAGTAGTAACAAGAAGAGCAACAACAACACCAAAAACATCTCTCTAAAATTAAGAAATGGGTCGTACAAAGAGATCGATAAAACTCAGCGAGAGCAAAAGATCAAGGCTATCTACTTTTTCGAGACGTCAAGCTTGCATTTTTAAGTTGGCTGATGAACTTGCCAAGAAGTCTGATGAACTTGCCAAGATGGCTGATGAACTTAGCAAGAGGCCTGATGTTGAACCATTCTTCAACAATGTACTTGAACGTCTCATGGGAGAAGAGCCTAAGGAGGTATGTGTCCCATTATTTTTCATATATATATAAAATATATCTTATGTTTATAAATTCTTTTTGTAAATTTTAGATTTTTAGTAAGAGGAATCAAGAAAATCTTGAGAAGATGACTGTAGAACAGGAAATGGAGGTCTTGGTTGCTTTCAAGGGGAAATTGGTGGCCCTTCGAGCAGAAATATGCAGGGTTCAAGAGAGGAAAGCTTCGGCTTCTCTCTTGATGCTCTCTAGGGAAACAAATGATCCTCGGAACTATGTCGAATAGACAAACATTTCGGAACTATGTATTTAATTTCAAGAAGTTTATGCAATAATTTTGGTGGTTGTAATTGAAGGAAGTGTATGTGTCCTTCATCTTTTTGTCTTTTTACAAGGATTTTTCATAAGTCCCTTTTTCAATAATAATACAAGTTTTTTATAATAATTTACAATACATGTGATTATATATATGTTTAAGATAATTTGGCATAAAGTGTCCCATGAGTTTACATATGATTACAATGTCATATCAGTTTTAATAAAAGTGAATAATATACAGCTAATAGAGATTGAAAGAGAAGATGCAGAAAAACAGCTGATGAGTGATTGAATAGTGTGAACTCATGTTTTTCTCCGCACCTTCATTTTAAGAAGGTCACACTATTAAGATTTATTCCCTTCTTTTGTGTGTGTGTGTGTCTATATTTTACCTTTTATAATTGATAAGAATAAAATCAAAGTAATTGATAAGGATAAAATCAAAGTTAATAACCATGTGTTAGTACCTCAATTGGTAAAGATCTCTGGCAAAAGCTTAGAGGTCGCCGGTTCGAGTATCGCTTGGGACGAGACCATATAACATGCTTTGGTCTCGGATTTGAGGGGGTGTATGAGTTTCGGCCCAGAACCTCTTTGATTATTAAAAAAAATATATATATATCAGAGTTAATTATCTCCACTATATTACAGTTTAGTTTGCGTTCAATTTGAAGTAGTACATGAGGTTATTGATTGCCTGGTAAAGGTCCAAATTCAATATGTACAATTTCAAAGGGTAAGTTGGGTTAGTTACTAAACAAAAATATATATAAAAATTCGATTTAATTATCGGTTTGGTTCGGGTAACAATTCTCAAGAATCTGGTATTATTTGATTTAAACATAGTTTTAAGGCGTTTTCAAGAAATTTTTGTTTTAACATGTGTCATCTGATTCGATATAATTTGTACATGTGGGATCTGACTCAGCAAAAATTGTACACATAGTATTTGACGCATCATAGTTGGCCAATATCAATCTGGTCAATGTTGCTTTCAACATATAAATTTGATAGCTCATGTAGTTTATTTGAAAAATATCTAGTTTGGGTTGATAGTACGCACTAAAGTTGAGGTATAAAAACGACATTTTTGAAATTGTATAGGTTAAGTTCGGCTCTTTACACATTGATTACATCATTACATATGTACTCATACTGTTGGGAGTGAATTTGCAACAACTAATTATATGATATTGTTGATTTGTACTGATTATGAAGAAAGACGTTTATCCGCTTTTGAAATTACTTTCTCGCTACTTCCTTATCTTTTTCTTAGCATCATGCATACAACTAGATTTAGGTTTAACTGTATATTAAAACACAAAACATTACAGAGCGTATTACACATACGAATTAGCACATTCAAATTTCTGCTTGACCTTGCATTTGACATCATTTGAGATTTTATAGTCTTGTTCATATAATAGCTATGGGTTCCCCGATCCTCTTGCATCCACTGCACTATTTATCTTGAGATGACTATTATATAGTTACAGCTTGCACTTTTATTATATGCAATCATGTATTTTATAGAGATCTATATTTGAATTTGGAACTTTTAAATTTGAATTCTTAAAACTCTAGTTTTAATTTAGAAGTACAAAAAGTAATAATTCACAAAAACTATTAAAAATGTACAGTGTATGAGAAATAGCAACACAAAACAAATTAGCACCATAAGCATTACTAACATCATCTCCCATATACGTAAGTGTATGATGAGAACATAAACAAAATTATCCCACTTTTACTT